AAGTCTATTGTCTTGTCTTCTGCTCCTACATTGGTGGATTGCCATTACTGAAATCAAAATAATCAAATATACTCAAAATTCGTTTATTAATTTTCAAATTTTTACGCAGAAATTGATGAACCATTTTTAAAGAAAATTACTGATGATTCCTTGCTTGTACAAGTCTTGCAAGATTCTTCAATTCTTCTTCTTTTTTGTTTACTTCCTTTCAAAAGAAAACTATATATTATACAAATATATATGTACCCGTTAGCCACTAGACTTTTGTGTTGTCTATATATGCAGATGCGCTATGTAATCACATCCAAGTTAATTTAAGATCTTTTGGTTGCACAATACCTAAGCATAAATATCATACTCCCCTTTTTTGTTCGAATTCCAGTACAGCATTCGTAGGACATCCTAAAAATACCACATTCTTAAGAGTTTTTTTTTTCAATTCAAGATTATTTTTGTAAAACGACTCGATGATAATGTAATGAAGATCAATTTTCCAGTGATTCTCCTGACAATGGTTATAAGTGATATATTTCTCTTGTATAGGAATTCTTCGGTTGATCCATTACAAAAATTGTTTAAGAGCTTATGTCACGTTCATGTATACTTTAAATCAAAAAATGTGTTTTTCCGATCTCAAACCCTTAAGAGAAACAAAAGAAGATTAAAAGGTTCATGAAAAGGGCGTGAAGAATCAACTTTTTTGGTTAAATTTGCAATTTCAAAATAAAAATACTTGTTCATGTTGACATTAAAAATTGTAGGTCACCGTCGAGTATGAGAGATCAAAAAGCTAATATCTTATGGACATTACAAAAAAAAGAAACACAGAATTTGCTATGAAATAAAGAAGAAAGCATGTTGGTTTGGTCTCAAGCTGAGAAACTTCATGCTGTTTTATAACCTGCGTCTGTTTTATTACCACCCGTCCGTCATGTAAATGGGCTGCAAACAAATAGTGGGCTTTACATTATATTATAAAAGTAATTAGGCCCAGAATCTAAAAATGAGGGCTCCATCAGTATTTTTTATTTTTTTATGATGAGCCTTGGGAAATACATTGGCTTGATATTTTAGCATTTTGTCCTCTTTTGAGGACAGTGGTGTCAGTAACCTGACAATCTAATTTAAATAACTCAATAAATAAACAGTATTTTAAATATATATTTCAATATTTGTATCAAAACTTTTTCTTCTCGGTAGTAATTACAATATTTAAAATTTGTGTTAGATCATTCAAATTGAAGTAAAATTTGTTATAAAATCAAATATAGATGGAAACTAAAACTGTAGAAGATTTAACTAAATGAATTTCTCTTTCAATATTAGTGATTTTTTTTTTTATAATCCATATGTTTAATTTAAACCAAACTAGGAACTGCAAATTGAAAGAGCAAAACTGGACTGGACTTGCATTACCAATAAATAGAGAAAAGAAGTCTA